ACTTACAACTGCAAACTGAAAGTTAAATCTCTTTCCCTCAGAAAATTTCAACAATCATTTCAAAAGTAAGAACTCCAACAAGAGCTTGCCCATTTTCTGTTTCAGAACTCAGAAACTGAATACAGTGAGCTGTGAAGAAATGCAATCTGTGACTGGCTTACTTTGGAGAGGAAAAAAAAGGTCTTTCAGAGGAGTTAGAAGCTCAGGATGCATGGAATTCCACAATCTACTTCTGTTTCCAAATGAACCAGATGTATATTCATACCCTTATCTCATGACTTTCTAAATACTTCCATTTCTGTATATAACCCAATATTTCAACTCCTCCCCTCCAAAAAACAGTTTATTCAAGATTTGAGACAACCTAGTCTTTCATTCATTCCAAAAGTGTTTACTGAGCATCTACCATGTTCCAGGTATTGTGCTATGTGCTGGGTATGAAAAATTGAAATAGTCCTTACCCTCAACAAACTTGCATTCTACTAGGGTGTGATGGGGGAAGAAAAGAAACATAACGAAGTTTAAACAAAATAATCTGGGGGAAGGGGTGGAAAGCACTAACAAAGGAGAAAATCAAAAAAGGCCTAGTATAGGAGATAGCACCTGATTTGAGCCTTGAAGGGAGCCAGAGATTCCAAGAGGTAGACAATGTGAAGAAGGAGATAATTCTAGGCATGAAGGACAGCCTGTGTAGAGGCAAGAGGTGGAATTGAATGATGAGTGTGGGGAAAATGTACAAGTATGCCAACTGACTGAAATGAAGAACTCAGAGATAGACAGACAGATAGACAAACAGATAAACATGTATCTAACCGCAATATCTCCCCTGAGTCTCAGTACTGAATCACCAAATGTCTATTTTACATTTCAACCTGGATTTCCCTGACACCTACAAAACTCAGCATGTTCAAAACTGAACTTATCTTTCCCTCAAAACAAAACTCCCCATCCTCTAAACTTCCCCATCTGTATCTATCCTTCCACTCAGTTTCATAATTTCAGCATTACCTTGGACTTCTCACTCTTCCTCACCATACATATCCAATCAGTTGCCAGTTCAACTCTATGCTGCCCCCTTCTCTAGAGTCCCTGCCTCCCTTTTCCCCTACTGTACCCTCTCAAACCTTAGCCTTGGATGACTCTGACTATCCACTATCTTCACTCCTACAGGATGAATAAAACTGGAAAAAAATCATGCAAACACTTGACAAAATCCACTACTAAATTATGTTAACACAACTTCAACTGGACCTCTACTGCCCTAGAAAATCCTTATTTACCTCCTTATCAACTACTATCTCAATTTCCATACCACCTCTTCCAACGCTTCTCATCCCTCTTCAAATCTCCTATGGTATCCCCTCCCTGAAGCAGCTAGGTGGTTCATAGAACACTGGGCCTGGAGTCAAGACCTGAGCTCAAATCCAGCCTCAGACATTTACTAGTTGTGTGACCCTGGGCAAGTAATTTAACCTCTATCTGCCTCAGTTTCCTCAACTGTAAAATGGGGATAATACAGCTATCCCTTCCACATGTCAACTTTCCCCATGGAGGTTTCGCTATATGGCAGGTCAGCATAAGAAATTAAATGTGAACTTGGGGGCAAGTTTTGCAGAAGCCACAGATGAAACTCTGAAATGCATATAGTATTGTATAATATCAACCCAAATTTTACAATAAGGTACTTAAGTAAACACTCTACAAAAGAAAAAGAAAAAATTCAAACTTCTCTGGTATGAAGGGGGCCAAAAAATTTTACAGGGACTTTCCAGATCGAGCGGGCACCTTGCCCCAAACCCTGAGATGCAGAAGAGATAACTGTAACAGTATCTACCTTGAAAGGCTGTTGCAAGGATCAAATAAGATAACATTCGCAAAGTGTTTAACACAGTGTCTGACTTGTAGTAGGCACTTTATAAATGCTTATTTATTCCCTTCCCTTCCCCCCTCCCCACCATTACCCTCCTCTCAGCTGAGAATCTTGCCTCATATTTAGAGAAAAAAATTGAGGCCACTCAGTGTGAACTCCCTCTTCCTCATCTCATATCACTCAGATGCTTCTAGCACTACATTCTCCTTCATTTTTCTCTCACCTAAGAGGTAACCTTTCTCTCACATCAAATCGAACTCCTCTACCTGCACAAGCAATCTCATTCCATCCTGTCTCCACCAACAGACTGTCCCCTCTGTCACCCCCTACTCTATCACTTATCTTCAATCTCTCCCTGTCCACTGGTTCCTTTCCTAGTGCCTACAAACAGGCCCATGTCTCCCCATCCCCTAAAAACCCTCACCTGATACTTTCATTCCTACTAACTGTAGCTCTTCTAGATAAACTAAAGTTTGGGGCTAAATTTCTTAAAAAGGCCATCCACAACAAGTGCCTCCAACTTTCTCTCCTCTCACTTAACCCCTGCAATCCAGTTTCTGACCTCATCATTCCACCAAAACTGCTCTCTCCAAAGTTACCAATGATCTCTTAATTGCCACAATACCTCCTACTCATTAAAATCCAGTGGTTCCCTATCATCTCCAGGATCAAACACAAAAGCTTCTGTTTGGTGTTCAAAGCCCTCCATAACTTAGTTCCCTCCCTTTCCCCTCGCCCCCAATCTTTCCAGTCTTCTTATATATTTCTACCAGACACATAATTTTTGACCTACTGAACTCTATTACTTCATTTTTAAACCCTACCTAGTTTTCCAGAATCATTGGACATTACTCTCACCATGAACTCTGCAATCCAGCCAAACTAACCTTCTCTGTGTTTCTCACACATGAAACTCCCATTACCCTTCTCTACCCTGTTCATCTCCCATACCTGGAATGGACTTCCTCCTTACCTCAGAACACAAAATACCCTTATTCCTTTCACATTCAGCTCAAGCATCATTTTCTTCATGAAGCCTTTCATGATCCCCCATACCTGGAATTGTCTCATTCATCTCTTTCCTTCAAGTCCCAGCTAAAATCCCACCTTCTTATAAAAAGCCTTTCCTGATTCCCCTTAACAGTAATCATGTCTTCCCTCAACTGATAATCTCCAATTTAACCTATCTATAGCTTATTTATACATAGTTGTTTGCATGCTATTTCTTCCATTAGACTGTGAGCTCCTTCACAGCAGAGACTGAATTTTGCCTTTCTCTGTATCCCAAGCACTCAGCACTGTGCCTAACACAAAGCTGTCACTTAACATATAGCTTACTGATTCATCCCAATCCCTCCTTCGAAAAATATTTTATATTTGGATTTGTTCACTTGATATTTACACACACATATATGTCATATTCGTATGCACATAAGTATACATATACACACCCGCTTGCCTACCACAGATGAATGTAAGCTCCTTGCAAGCTGGGATTGTTTTGTTCATTGTATATCTTGGCATCAGTAAGGTGCCCAATGGGGAGGGGGCAAGGGGTAAATAAGGGCATTAATCCTATACAATGAGTCAGAAAGCATAAAGCCAAATCAGTCTGGAAAGACAAGTTGAAGCCAGATTATGAAAGGCTTTAAAAGCCAAAAAGAGAAGTTTATATTTGATACTATGAGATAATAGGAAGCCACTGATGCTTTTTTAGAAAGTGACAAAATCAGACCTGTTTTCTAAGAATATCAATCTGACAGTTATGTGGAGGATGGATTAGAAAGGAAGGAAATGGAATTACACAGACTTATCAGAAAGCAACTACAATAGTCCAGATGAGAAGTGATATGGGCCCAAAACAAGATGTTAGCTGGCTGAATGGTGAGAAAAGGATGGATTCCAGAGATACTGTGGACAAGATTTTGGAATGCCTCCTAGACTATGAATTTGGATGTTTAGAAGAATAATGAAACCTTGAATAGAAATAAGGAAGTTATGAAGACAGGGATAGAATGGAATTATAGACTAACGAACAAGTCAAGGTTTGGAGCTCAAGATGAGAGGGGTTTTGGTGGATTTGGGGTTTTGTTTCGATTTTTTTGCTATTTCAAGTTTGAGGTGTCTATGGGACATCTAGTTAGAAATATCTAATAGTAAGCTGGTCAAAAGACAGAAAGCATCTTGAGCAGGATATGGACAATGATGATCCAACAAAAGTGACTGAAAAATGGCTAGCCAGACAAGAAGGAAAATTCTGCTTTCTGATCTTATTAAGAGGTATCCTGTTATACTAGTCAGAAATCGGTAAGGCTTGGGTTCAAATCTCATTTCTATCAAGTTCCAGCTGTGTAACCATGGGCAAGTCATTTAACCTCCCTGGGCTTCATCTTTCTCATCTAAAAAGTAGGGATAAAACCTATAGCACTTATTTCCCTGGGTCGCTGGTAGCCTTAATTAACTGTGATAACACATGCAAAACGCTTTTGCACCCTGAAAGTTACTTAACTGTCAATTATTTAATATCTAGCCAGAGGATAAAAAATATAAGCCAGTAAAATAAGAAACATGTTAAAGTTGGACCTAAAAAACTGTTTATTTTTCAAGTGAAACTGGAGCCAGAGAGGTTAAGATCACAAAATAGGTGGCCTAACTCTAAGTCCATTGCTCTTTCCCAAGAAACCACACAAAGGGCATGAGCATACTTTCTTCCCCTTAGGGTAAGAGGAACTGTCACCACCACCATAATTTTACTTTCTCAATCAACTTATCCAGATGCAAGGATTCATTTCGCTCCGTGGTTACAAATTCGGCTCTCTTGGAGCACGGGTGGATGAGGGCCTGGCGGGACAGATGCAAAAAGGAGGGTCTTGGATATTTAAGCCAAGATGACAAGAGCCGGACCTCAGACCCTGCAGCCGACAGCGCTCCTGAAAGGAAAAGAGCGCCCGCCACGGCGGGCAGGGGAGCTCCGAGACGCCCCAGAGGGTCGCCAGCATCGACCTCCCAGCCCGGAAGGTGCCTCCATCCCAAAGCCCGGCCTCTGCGCAGGTCACCTGGGAGGACAGGAGGGGGTGGGGGGGACGGGGAGGGAGAGGGAGGGTCAAAGGGCAGGGAGGGGTGCAGTTACCTGTTGAGGAGCAGGGAAGCCACGCAGAGGCAAAGAAGCAGGAAGCAGAAGAGCGGGTACTGGCGACAGATCTCTCGCCCCAAATCTAGTCTTAGTCGCTGCTTCAGCTTCTCCCCCGCAGCCCGCACCCACGGAAACATCTCGACTAGGACAGCACGGCGTGTCTAGGGGTACGCGGGCCCCATCCACCCTTCTACTCCACCCTTCAAGCTGCCAGCCCCGCAGGACCTACAGACGCGCTGACGCCACCCCAGCTTCAGCCCGCAGCCCCGCCCCGCGAGAGCCTCCTTGGGCTCCCGGCACGCATGCGCAATAACCTCCACGAGCGCACTTTGCCGCAGCCCCGCCTCACGGGAAAATGTAACCTGCAGTAGTCACTGAACTGTTCTGAGGTTCTCGTCTCACCTCTTTCCCCAACCCAGGGTCCCTCCTTCCCCCCACTCCACGAACACACTCGCCCCCAAGTCAAAAATGGCCGCTGCCCTTTGTAGCTTTTCATCGGACGCAGGTCTCCGGTGGAGGGACCAATTCCACCTAAGGCCAGTTCTTTCCGGAAAACGGAAAGAAACCAAAATGCGGGGTAACGGACCGACCAGCTCCCTTGGGAAAAACGAGAGTCGAGGCCCTAAGTGGCAGGAGGGCAGCCAGCCGCAGTGCCTGCTGGGACCTGTAGTTGACCAAGAGGCAGCAGCCGAGGCAACGCCCACCACGCGCTTCCTCCCAGTGCTAGGACATGTGAGGGGGAGGGGAGGCTTTGGACCCAGGAGCGGGCTCAGGAGAAAAGTGGGGAACCTTGAAGTCGCGGAACTAAAAGCTAACTGAGGTTGGGTCTGTGCCTACTAGAACTGGGAAGCGCATTCTTAAGACATTACTGAGGATTATGGGTGGAACAACCTGTTGTGGGGGAGGGGAAGTCCCCTGACCTAGTTCCACAAACGGCCCCCGAGTTGTGCCAGGACCAGCGGGATGGGCGGGAATGGGACCCGGAACTCGAGGGAAGTGAAAAAAGTTAACTTGGGTAACGTTTGGTAAATGTTTAATTTTGTCACCTAACATTACTTTGCTACAGTGTCAAAGTTTCAATCCACACGAAAGTACATTTTGACTTAACATTAACCTTCATAGTGTAGAAGCCGTGGGCCCATCGCCTAGTGGTGTGCAGTCGAAGCGCTGCAATACCCAGATTGCTTATTTTATAAAACTCCACCTCCTTGGGTGTTTGGTCTGAAAGGATCTATGGAAGAAGGTCGAGCACACAAGATGGTAAAACATGCAGTTTACTAAGGATGGAATACCGACGTCGAAAAGATAGCAGAATTAAAGTATGGAAGTTTTAAACAAGGGTTCCCAAACAAAATTACCAAAGGACCCACCCTAAGCATAAAGAGCCCTTTAATTTACCAAGTCAGGGCATTGTTATTAGACTATTGCCCCTCCATTGTTTGGCTATTTTGGTTTATCACTTGAGGCTCAGTTGAAAGCAATAAAGTTTTGGTTACCACTTAAAATACTAAAGGAAAAGTACCAAAAATTTCTCCAGTTAGTGTATGAACATATTTTAATATATTGTTCCATAAAAAGCACTCCCCTTACAGAAGGGAAAGTACTCATAATCCAATTATGAGCTGCAGCTCAACACATCTTTGTAATTGTCATTTGTAGTTGTCCAGGGAAATTAGACAATTTTTCTGTGGCTCCTATATTTACATACCCCAAAAAAAGAAAACATCTTTGAATAGCATAATGGTTCTATATGGTCCACCATATTGACCAGGTTTGAATGACTTAAGTTTTTTGAAAAATATCATCTTACTTCAAAAGGATGAAGAATCGCTATCATTATTGATATTTAAGAAATTGCTGCAGATAATTCCCAAAAAAAGTTCCAATATAATAGTATACTCTTATGGTCACTACTTAGAAGGAGTTATTATTCATTTGGATGAATTAACACGTTCATGGATTGTTACTTTCACTAAGTTTCTCACAGTTCACATTACTACAGCATTTATATTTTGTTAATTTATTCCTTGCAATACACTATGAAGTAGTTAATATATTATCTGTTTTACTAAACTGGGAATAATTTCTGAGCTTAAGTAGATCTTTCCATTTACATCCACTAAAATCTTCCCATTATACTATCTCTTCCTTACAAAATTACCTACTTGTGCTTTCATCGTAAATTCCCTCTATTAATCAAGGGTTTATTTAGCTATTTGTTAGTTATATACCTCTTGTGTATAAATGACTAATGAAATTTAACATGAAGCCTTTTTTGGAGTTGTTTATCCCATGAACTAGTGATATATTAAAATGCATTTTCAATTAATCAAAAAGCATTTATCAAAAGTCTACATAACCTTTGGAAACATTTTACATCACTGGTACATATTCACATGCCAGATTACTATTAAAATATATTACATACTTTTCTGGGAAGATGTAGCAATGGTCTTCATTTATTTTTTAAAGGGCATACATTATAATGCTTTACTCTTTCCTCATCTCTGATTTTATACAATATACTTGATGCCTCCACAAAATCTCATTCCATTTCTTCATTACGGCAGAGGGTATCTATGGTTCTATTAAGCCATGTTAACAAGTACAAGCTCCGGAAAATTCTGCCATGCTGGAAAGGAGGGCAATATAAGTTAAGACTTTCTGAGGAGCAACCTAGCCAAATAGGGAGCTCATATTCAGGAGGCTAACCACCTGATGTAAAAGTGACAATAGCAACCCATGAAATAAAGTACAAAATAGCTTTCAGTTCTTTGTGACTTCTTACATTCATGCAGTGATTATGGCAAAATGGTGGAAAAGGGGACAGTGGGAGTTAAAAATCAATTTTAGACCATCTACAATTATTTACCCATATTACCTATGGGTAATCGGTTTGAGAGACCCTAGAATGAGTGGATATGCTGTTAGAGGAAATGAATCATAGCAATCTTAACATGGACCATAAGTGAAAACCACAAGGATGGCTCATAGATTCTACTTGCAGAGACAAAAGAGTTGCTACAATTTGTTTTTACTGAGCTTTCAAAAGCAGTAAGATACATTTTATGGGTTACTTCCTTATCTTGCACATTTCATTAAAATTTCCAAAATAACAACCACAAAGATAATTGTAGCTTATGAGGTAGAAAAATTTGCCAAAAAACTGGACAAGATCTTCCAAATTACTTTGGTATACATTTTACTAGTAGGCGACTGCAAAACAAAGATGGGCTTAGGAAATGATGTTAAAAAGAAAGTTGGGAAAATTGTTTCCAAAATAACAAGAGATCAAAGAAATTTAAAAAATTTATCAGCTTCATAACCCATATAACTAAATATTATGAATACTTAAAAAAGAGAATCGGGACAGTGGGCCAAAAAAAAAAAATCACAAAAAATAACTTATTTTGTGTATGTGTATGTTATGTAGAGAGACAGGAAATAGCTGATTACTGATGTTAGAATAACTTTTTTATAAAACAAATTTTTATTGATAATTTTTGTTTTTACATAGCCTACATTTCCCCTTGCAGCCCCTCCCCTCTCCCAGGGGGCCATCCCTTATAACAAAGATTTTTTTTTTTTTTAAGAAAGAACAAGAAAAAAAGTTCAGTGAAACCAATAAACATATAAAAAAATCTGATGTTATAGACAATGTTGCATGGCTCTGGAACCCTATTTCTACAAAGAAACAGGAGGGAAGTATCTTTTCTTGAAGTTAAACTTGTTCATTGTCATTTCAAAACATTCATTTTTGATGTTTTGTGATTATTGTTCTTCTCACTAATAGTCAGTCACTGTACATATAGTTCTCCTGACTTTGCTTATTTCACTTTTTAATTCAGTTCATGTATGTCTTACCATATTTCTCTGTATTCATCATGCTCTTCATTTCTTAACAGCAAAATAATACTACATTACATTCATGTACAACAATTTGATTAATCATTCCCCAGTAAATAGGTATCTCCTTTGTTTCCAGTTCTTTGCTACCTCAAAAAGTACTGCCATAACATTTTGGTATATATGGATAGCACCTATCTTTTTCTGAGTCACCTCCTTAGGATAAACCCCCAGCAATGGAATCTCTGGATGAAAGGGTACAGACATTTGAGTCACTGCCTAATTCCAAATTGCTTTTCTGAATGTTTATACCAATTCACAGTTCCACCAATTATGCATGAGTGCATCTCTCTCGAATTTTTTTTTTTTAATTTTTAGGCCATTGGGGTTAAGTGACTTGCCCAGGGTCACACAGCTAGTAAGTGTCAAGTGTTTGGTATGAGGTCATATTTGAACTCAGGTCCTCCTGACTTCAGGGCCGGTGCTCTATCCACTGTTCCACCTAGCTGCCCCCTCTTGGAGTAATTTCTGAATAAACTATTTGTATACACTCAGGTATCCCAAAGTACTAATAAGGCAATTACAGCCTGACCTAACAAGCTGTTGCCAAAAAATGGCAAATAAATTAAGAATACACATCAACAAAGGCCATCACTAGAAATTTTACTAGTAAAAATTAATCACTACAGCTGAGAACAAAAAAGAACCTTGAAACAAACTAAAGCAACAAACATTTGATCTTTCCAAACATACAGATTATACTAAGCATACATAAAATCTTACAGAAAAAAATGGTACGAGATTATGGACACTTCCTCATATTGAGAAGCAATAGAAAAGTAAGCTTACACAAAGCTTGATGAGAGCTACAAAAGAGATCACTCTAAAGGCATTTTAAGGAAGAAACTGGAAAGACAATAAGTATTTTCATGAAAAACAGAAATTGGCTTTTCAGATTTCAAAAACAAACTTTTTCCTATCAGTAGAACCACCACATCTGGACTTAGCAGCACCATCTCTGATAAACTGTTTAAAGAAGCAGAAATGGCACTAAAGAAAATAAAGATGAGAAAAGCTGTTAGACTAAATCAAAATCACATGAAGGTCTATACATAAAAGAGAAATTTTGAGAACAATTGAGGATTGATTGTCAAGATGTCAGAAAGAGGATTTCAACCCCCTGGAAAAAAAAATATCAAGATCTATAATATTATCAAAAGACAGCAACCAAAAAAAATTGTAGTAAATGAGACCTATGTGCCTAATTTCTTATGTCCACAAAATCTAATGAGAATAATCAACATAGGCAGTGCGAGCAGCCTTAATGAAAATATGAGAAGGAAATCGGCATCCTTTAACAAGAGCTATTTTACAATGGCTACATCTTTACCATGCACAAA